TTTATTGACTGGGATTTCAATAACTCGGACTGGGATTTCTAATAAAAATCCAACTGGGACTGGGATTTTGCCAAAATTTCAGGTGGGAAATGGGATTCAGGACCCTCTATATGAAGTTACTTTTAAAGTTGGAAGTGAAACAGGCAGTGACGAAGCTGAAGTTAAGGTAGTTGGAAAAGCTGTCAATCCTGGAGGTGGATATGGTATGGAAGTCCCGTGCATCTATAAATTTCAGGGTCATAAAATATATGTCGATTTATTAAAGAAACTTTTGGACATTGACAATAATTTATCGGTCAGACATGAAGCCAGAAAAAGACACTCTGAATGGACAAAAAGAGCAAAAATTCAAAAGTTAAACGTCGCTAAAGAACCTTGTATTTTAATTCTATTCCTTTGCGCGACTGATAATAAAAAAAAAATAGTAATATGATGCAACTTGAATTGTGTGTTTCACTGCACAAGGTGTCTTAAATTACACTGCATTTCCGTCCGTAAGCACATTTATTTTTTTGAGTGACTGTATTAACGGGGTGATTTCTTTAGTTCGGGACTCTACAATATGGCTGTTGGCCGTATTAACGGGGTGCATGGCCGTATATTAACGGGGTAACTTTATTATAAAATGTATTACTGTTTCGCCGGGACAAAAAAAAGTGACCGTATTATCGACGGTTTTCGGTTCCGAAATATCACATATGTCGAATCGACCTGACCGCGTAGCTCAGTTGGCAGAGCATTGGGCTAGTATCACAGAGTAGATACTACACAGAGGTAGAACTGTATATTACGAAACGCTAATATTCACCCCCCCCCCCGAAAACTTACAAAATGACGGTCATTTTTTACTGAAAAGAATACCGCAAAAATTTGTTTCGAAATCAAGGAGATGGTTTCAAATCTCGCTGATTTTTGTTGAGTTATTTTTGTTTTCAAGTTTGCCTATGGGAAGAAGTAAATTTGGGAGAGAGTTTCTTTTTCTTTTTTTTCTATAGAATTGTTTTCATACGAGCGGGAATTGTATTATATTTTGCTTTAGTTTTGCTTTAATATACCTGTAAAATATTGTGGATATTTTGTGGAAAGGAAGAAGCTTTGCTTGACAAAGCGGGTTGACAAACGACAAAAGTTATTTGTCTTTATATAAGGTGCGGCATGAACTGTTGATTTTTGTGTATTTAATGCACTAGTCAATTGAAACTACGGCCCCACGACCTCCGCGGCATAGCGGGGAATTTAACAATTCCTCTTGTTAATTAATAATTTAATTCACAGTCATTTCCCCCGCTACTGGTGGATATTCCTTGTTAAAAGTCCCGGTATTCTTGTACGAAATAGCAATACACAACTCTGAACGCTTTCTAGAACTTTCACAAAACCAACTACAAGCAGATCATGAAATCAATGTACAGTATACATTTATATAAGAGACAAAATATATCTGTCTTAACAGGATAGTGTAGTACTAAGTCGATTAGCATGTTCAAACACAATGTCAATAACATCTCATGTTCAGTTACTCTACTCTAGCCGAACGTTAAAATCCCGACTACTTATTCCCAGCAAATAGTATGCTTGTTAAATTCCTGGTCTCCCGGCATTATAATGCAGCATTAAATAGGCATTATTCCACGGCTCTGTGCTCGTTAGCTCGGGTGTGTTTCAATTGAATGAATTTGGAAACAAAAATGGCCTTGAATATCCTTGCATTTGCAAAGAAATTCATTAAAATAATTCAATGTCACATTTTACTGATTTAGTGATTTCCAATACCTTCTCTTCAATATTTAGTCCCAGGGGCCAGTTGTTCAAAGCTGGGTTAGCTTAACCCAAGGTTAACCTAAAACTCATATTGGCAAACTTTCTGACAGCTTGACTATATATAAATTTGGAAATATTTTTTCAGAGATCTTCTCCAGATCGATAGGAGTTTACTTCTCTGAAGTTTTGAAGTAAACAGACGTGCAGAAATACGCAAACTAAAACAGCAGGTTAAATTCTAACCAATAAATAATAACGCTTGAACGAGCACACACGTGTATTTGAGCTCTTGCTAAATTTTAACTTTTTCTTTCTTAAATTTGGCACACTTTGCCAAATATTACAATATGTTTTAGTTCTTAATTGTTGCTGGCATTGGTTGGCTTAGAATAATGTACTCTGGTACATCTTCGAGCAAAAATTGAGCTAAATGTCTTTGACTAGAAGAAAGGGAGCCGCGGCAACCATGCATGAAAGTCCAGATCGAAGCCATCTTTAACTCGGAAGAATTCCAACAGCTTTTACAAAGTACTTAATGAAAAGATTTATGTTTTAAGCCTGGTTCACATATGCCTGCGGTATGCCTGCGACTGTATCATTATGCCTCTACTTGCCGCCGAAATACCGGTAAAGTTGAGCTCAAGTCAACTTTCCCGGCCTACCGCCGATGTAACTGAGGGACTGGAGGCAATCGGAGAACAAATGTTCACATAATTTACGTTTTAAAGCTACCACCTGTATCGTCGCCGGTACGTCGCAGGCATGTCGCAGGCATATACGTGAACCAGGCTTTAGAGGAAAAGGTGTCAACTTTAGAGTCTCGTCTAACTCGTGCATTAAGCATGGCAAATAACAACGATCGAGCAATATTCTCGCCGCCATGATGTTCATAATAGTGGGCTTGTAACTGTTCCATTCATACGTATACAGTTGAAGATATTAAATAATATAATTTTTCTCTTGACACTCTTCTTTTCCAACATAATTTCTGTATGTATGACATTTCCTCAATAAATAACCTGTCACATATGTGATGGCATTGGCCCTTGTGGAACTGTTGTAGCAATTTCATTACTGGCAGCAAGCTCTGTTGTCTTTCTGGTGTTTTTGCATCTAAATCAGCAGCACAGTTTGTATTGGATGGTGACAGGTAGTTGTCATAAAACAGCTTTCTGAAAGCTCCAGTAAATTGAATTGTGGTTGGAGTGTCACGATTCCCACTCTGTTGACGAATGCAGCCAAAAACATTTTCCAGTGGATCTTGATTGAGCCACCTGGTGCAGAGAAACTGTATTGAAGGCTGAACAGATTTCCACACCTGGAACGTTCCATTTAAGGTTGTTTGCAAAGCTTTCAAGCACTTTACGTTGGAAGCGACATCTTTTCCAGTTGTTGGGTCTGTAACTTTAATTCTCCCAACCAAGGAACACATATCAGCGATAAATTTGAAGTGGTGAGACTGAGATGACAGCAGATGATTGTAAATCTTTGGACAGTCAAAGACGTGCTGTTTATACAATCGAATATTGTATCAAATTGGGCAATCAGTTCAGCTGTCCCAGCTGCCAATGGAGGAAGGAGACTACCGCTTGTAGCCATTAGCATTGCCGAGAAACAGTATGGCTAAAAAAATTTTCAAACTTTCATTTTTTGAAAGCCATTGGGGTACAGGCGATTGCTGGTCAATTTTGGCCAACATCTGATGGAATTTTTGGAGTCAATATTGTAGAGAACTTCAATGTCCTTCCAGGATGCAACTTTTCCGTCGAAATGAAAGTCATACTTTATGAGACTGTTCCATACTGCTTTAATTATATATATGTGGTGTGTCGAAGAGATAAACAACTTTTCGTCCATTATGGAGGAACCAGAGATTTTCAGGGGTGATACCCATTTCTCGGACCAACTTTTGAAAGTTGGAGCCAATATCAGAAACAACAGCTTCAACATGCAGTCCTATATTTTCCACAAGGTTGATGATCTCGATCAGCTTTTCTTTAACTTTGAAACTGCTGCATGCTTCATTGACAAGAAAGTAAGCCAAAGGCTGCTTCCAGTTGTGCACCACGCCACAAGCCATAAAAACAATAGCAGAAGTTGCCAAGCAGTTGGTTTTTTCCCCTTCACCATAATCTTCCAGACCAATCAATTCATCGATATTCGATTGATAGGCCAAATTTGATTTCAAGGAAATTTCGTCGAATGAAATGATGTACAGCTTTCCTTTAGCATCCATAGTTTTAACTTTAATAGTCGGGCAGATATTGCCTTCATATTGTGCCCTGAAGGCTAGTTAGCACGTTTCTGTATGTTGGCCGCGTTAAAATTTCTTGTTGGCTCCTGCCGACACGTTTTTATTCAAATGTTGTATTAAACTCTATTACAGTTAAAAAATGTGAAATTTCAAATACTTTTCTAACACAAACGACTTACATCATTTGAAAGCTCGCACAAAACTACATATAAGACATTTAAACGGTTACCCGGATTTTTCAAGTTCTTCTTGAGTTATGAGCTGTTGAATGCGTGTTTTCAGACTAGTACCCAGAAATTTTGCGAGATTTTGGTTTATTTTTCACATTTGAAACGGCAATAACTCGCGAAAACCGCGTTAAAATCACAACTAATCATTTAAATGTCTGATATTGTAGTTTTTTGTTAGCTTTCCATTGATGCAAGTCATTTGTATTAGAAATGTATCAGAAATTTCACATTTTTTAACTGTAATAGAGTTTAATACAAAATTCGAAGAAAAACGTGTCGGCAGGAGCCCACAAGAAATTTTAACGCGGCCAACATACAGAAACGTACTTATTAGCCTTCAGGGCACAATATGAAGGTAAAATGGAATTGTCCCACGATATGGTAAGTTTTCCATAATTTTGGTTCTCTATCTGCCTGCATGCTATAATTGGTAGAACAACAGGTTGTGCGAGACCAGCATATGCAAAGCCCGATTTCAATTTGATTTGAGCTGAATATTCTGTAATTCTGTTTTCTTCTCTAAGACTATGAAAAAAAGAATTTTGCAAGCTTTTGCAATCCGGCTCTGTATATATATGTATTAAATGTTTCGTTTACATGCAATGCATGTATGCATCTGCTATTTTTAGCGCGCTTGCCAAAAACCATGTATTCAACCATTTCTACATAATTTATTTCATGCATGAAAGATTGAAAAGATTGTGATTTCAACAACGTGTTTAATTTAATGTTTTAACAAAATATCAAACATAAAGCCTGTTCTAAACGTCGCATTCAAAACAATGAATAATGAGGCATTTCAGCTGATTATCTATTGAGTATTGTTTTGAATGCATTCGGCACATGTAAAATGCGACGTCTAGAACAGGCCTTAAGCCTGATTTCCACTAGGCGGAATTTTGCGCGCGGAGCTGAATTTTTCTTTGTCTTGTGATTTCTCAGGTGGAACTAATTAGAAAAGACAAAGAAAATTTCCGCTGCGCGCGCAAAATTCCGCCTAGTGGAAATCAGGCTTTATGCATCATGGTAGAAATATTATACAATTGCCAACATTAATACTACGAGTTTTGCTTTGAACAAAATATCAAATATAATACACGGCTAGAAATACAATTCCCAACATTTATAATACTACGAGTTTTGCCTTTGAAATTTCGACACTACATTGCAATGTCAATGATAATTTAATTAATTAAAGAAGAAAGTGCGCCAGCGGAAACAAGAAAGGTTGACATTAGTAATCATTGTTGCATGATAGTTGCTGGCTATCATTACTCTGGCTCAGGCTCGCCCCATGATGCTAAGCATCACCTTAGTAGTTTTCGTCATGCGGAATATCTTTGTAAGTACGTAACTACGTCACTTCCGTCACCATGTGTTGTGGTGCACGTTGAAACAAAATAAGCCAAAATTGTATTCCCAAAAATTTCGGTTTAATAGCCGTTTCTTACAATTTCCTTGTACAGGTATCAATGTATGCTAAGTGTATCATATCTAAACTGTACACAAAAAATAAAAGGTTTTGGTTCAGAAACACGCCAGTTATACCCATTCGAAATATTTCACGATCGGGGGTTTCATCCCTTTCTATTATTTGTACATGTAAACAGAGTCAAGCGCTCTAGTATGAGCCCACGCTACTATGGTCAGTCAGTGTAACACAATGTTTGAATTACATGAAGTAGTGGGCATTATATTATCGAAAAAAAATTTAAAATAAACATAATTTTCATCGTGATGAAACCTGGATGCAACTATGCGATATATAGGATGATATAAACAAGGTATTTTAAATAAACACAATCGTACTTTTCTGCCCCCTGTGCAAAGACACTTGGAAACTGCTGAGACATGCGGTAAAATTTTTAAGTTTTCTCAACTTTGCTCGTTGTTTTGAGCATGAAAGTGACAGGCGATTTTTAAAATATATGCACAATTAATGTTTCTTAATGTTCCAAGCAGAATCGTTGAAATTGAGAAATTCAACAATACTTTGTAGCTATTTACCCCTATTTTCTCAACCTCTTTAGTGTGTGCTTGTTTTAAGTACGAGTTCATGTATTTATCTGTAATTTTAAAGAGTTTTTTTCGTTTAAATGTTGAGCTTTCGGTCGAGTTTGTTTTTCGCCTATTCGAGCCTTTTTAAGTCGAGGTTTTCGATTAAATTTTAATCTAAACTATTGTCTATGTATACTAGATTATGGAAATGTTTGACTCTTTATGTTCCAGTTATTTTAAAGATTTCAACGACATTCGAATAATCGGATTCTTTTGCATGTGTGTGCATTTTTATTCGACTTTTTAACGTATTAAAATTTATTTACTAATTTAGTATTAAACAATTCGGGAAGCCATGTTGTGTTCGAAATTTTGGAATTTTTAAGCCTAGCTTGTTTCCTTCTTTTAAATAAGTTTTAATTAAATTAACCAAACTTTGCTTCTATAACGGTCTCTTACTATTATACTGTTTTACGACATGTTTTTTAACTGTTTTTAAGCTCACAAGTTGTATTTTTCAAGTCATTCTTGAGTCTTGAGAGTTCGCAACACTGAGTAGTTGTCAACAAGGCCGAGGCGAAATGCCGCCAAAGGGCAAAGGAAAGCCATTTAAACGCTCATTTCGTTAAAACGTTATTATTTTACATAATAATCAAGTGAAAAATTCCCGGTTTTCTTTATGTGGTTTATTTCTTTATGTGGTGTGTTCTGCATTATTAATTTCCTTTGAAATCGATTATTCTTAAGGTCTGTGAACACGAATATATGAATATGGACCCCC